TTCTTCCATTACTCTTAACATAAAATGCCAATTCAATTGATCAAATGCTTTTTCAGCATCTAAAAATATGAGCCCTGCAGAGACTTGGTTGTTCTTGTCTAAATATTCTACTAAGTTAATAATTTGTCTGACATTGTTTTTCATATACCTTCCTGTTATAAACCCTGATTGATCTTTATGCACAAGATGATGCACCACCCTCATGAGCCTATTTACCAAAATTTTTACAAATATCTTATAATCCACGTTTAAAAGAGATATAGGCCTATAATTTTTTGGTAAAGTAAGATCTTGGTCCTCCTTCGGAATCAATGATATAAAAGCACTACGCCATGAAGGAGGAATCTCTAAACCCTGTAAAATACCGTTAAAAAGATCATTTAATGGTTGGATCATCTCCTCCATTAAGGCTTTATAGTAAACAGCTGTTAACCCATCCGTACCCGGTGCTTTCCCTAATTTCAATTGTTGAATTGCTGAGGCAATTTCCTCCTTGGTAATTAAACCATTAATTTCATATTTCTGATCCTCAGTCAGTTTAGGAAAACTTGCCTCAGCTAGATATTTATTTATGTCTAACAATTGTACATTAGTAGATTTATATAGGTTTTGATAATAATCCAAAAAAGATTTTTTAATTAATTCCTTCTGAGAAACTAGTTTACCCTTATAATTTATTTTCTCTATTATTCTCTGTCTCTGTTTCTTTCTTAATTGATAAGCCAACCATCTCCCCGGCTTATTAGCATTACAAAAGTGTTTTGTTTCATAAATAATAAGTTGGTTGCAGCTTGATCTGCTATCAACATATTAAATTGTGACCTTAATAACTTTACAGATTCTTTAGTACTTTCATCAGAAGGATTTAGAATCAAAACCCTTTCTTTTAGTTTAATTTCATCTTCAAGTTCTCTACGTTTCTGAATCTGATTTCGCTTATAAAAATTATTCATTTTTATCAAAACACCGCGCATAAATGCTTTACCTGCATCCCATACCATTGACATTGAAGTCCCCTTGTACATATTCAAAGCAAAATAGTCCTTTAAACACTCCTTTAGTTTTTGAACATTCTTCTCTTGTCTAAACAAATTTTCATTAACTCTCCAGGATCTTCTTTCCTCTTTCTCTTGAATCAGCTCCATCCAAACTGGACTATGATCCGTCAGTGATCTAGGAAAAATCTTTACATTCTTTACTTTATTATACAAATCCGTGGTAATCAAGAAAAAGTCAATTCTTGAAAAAGATTGGTGTCTGTCAGAAAAAAAAGTAAAGTCTCTCTCCTCTTGATTACGTTCCCGCCAATAGTCCCTTAATTCCCAGTCTTCTTTCATATCAAAAAAGGCTTTAGGTAGCCTTGCTTGTTTAAGAAAAGGAGAGGAACCTTTCTTATCCCTTTGTGTATCTAAGACACCATTCCAATCACCCATTAATACCACTGATCTATAATCAAGCAAAGTTATTTTTTGGTGTAACTGTTTATAAAATTGTTCCTGTTGTTGATTTGGAGCATAAAGTCCAACTATAAGTACTTTCTTTCCATAAATACCAAGTTCAATCATCACATATCTCCCCTGGGGATCTGATTCTACCAGACAAGCTGGCAGGTTTTGTTTAACATATATAACAACTCCCCCTTTCTTCCCAGGTGCAGGAGATATAAAATGAGATCCCAAACGAGCATTAACTAAATATTTCTGATCTTTAAGTAAAATATGAGTTTCCTGTAAACAAATAACATCATTGGTATGTTGCTTCAAATAGTAAAAGATTTTTTTCCGTTTCTGAGGAGAATTCAACCCATTAACATTCCAGGTCAAAAACTTTGCCATCTCCCTTGGCACGCAGCCTGGAGAAGACACCATCAAACTCTGACAGAGCTGCGTGTGTTGCATAACTCTTGGGTCTTGCTCCTCCCACCGGCGGTGATGCACTTCCAGGAGAATTCTCTTTGGGCTCTTTTTTACGTTGCTCCTTCTCTTTACGCTTATAGGCTGCACGAGTCATCCTCTGCTCTTTAGCCTCCGTTTGGCGTTGCTTTGCCACTTCAATCATCCCTGCGGAAACCAAATCTAGTGCCTCAGATTGCTGCTCAGCTTCCTTACCACTCAAAGATTTCCGACCAGATGAAGTTGAGCCTGCACTCAGGACCGAAGTATAAAAATCTCTAGCTTTGTCAACTGTATTCAATCTATAACGTGTCCCAGCATGGCTCAACACGATACCCATCGGAATTTCCCATCTGAATGGCATCGATCTAGCTTTAAGCTCATTGGTTAAAAAAGCAAAGTCTTTCCTACTTCTTAAAATTTTGGATGGGATTTCCTTTAGAATGATGACATCTTGGGCGGCAATCTGGAATCTTTTGTTGTAAAAAGCTTGTATAATCTCATTCCGCAGGGACTTCTTTGTAAAGTAAATCACCACATCTCTGGGCAAATTCTTCTGCTTAGCAATCCAGGAGTTGAGTCTATAAATTTTTTCCACTTCTCTCTGTAATTCTCCTTTATCCATATCCAAAGCCAGCGCCAAATCATTAAGAACCACCTCCATCAAATCTTGATTCATATCTTCCTTTAGGCCTCTAATCCTCAGGGCATACTCCATCTGTCTGTATTGAAACATCAAAATATCTTCTTGTGAGGAGTCAACCTTCCTTTCCACGTCTTGAATTTTGTCATCCAAAGAGTCAACTTTGTCTTCCACTTCCTCCAGCCTTGCATCGAGCTTAACCACCACAGTAGCCAAACCTGAGACAGCTGCCAGTATATCTTGTCGTAATTCATTATTATTTTCTTGCAATTTGGACTTTATCCCCGTTATCTCTTCTTTGAGATCAGATTTAATTTCTGATTTAATCTGTGAAACAAATTGAGTCATCTCCTCTCTCATTTGAACTACAATCTCTCCCATTATGCCTCTAACCTCTTGTGCTGAAAGTCCAGGTAGAGGAGGAGAGGGTGGTGGCTGAGCCGGTGGTGCATGTTTAGATTGTTGTGGCTGTGCAGTGGAAGTTATAGGAGAAGAAATAACCTTGGGTATTGAGGAAGGTTGCTGCCTCTTTGAAGCCATTTTAAAAAGCACAATTGTCACTTCCCTTTCCCCTCCAACCAAAAAGGGAGGAGGAGAAAGAAAAAAAAAAAAAAGAAAAAAAGAGTTTTTTTTAAAAAAGAGATAAACTATAATCATTAAAGTCCAGAGTAAATCCAAAGAATAAGTAGTAAAAGAGCAAACAGTTCAAAAGAAAAAATTCTAAGCCAGAAGCAAAAGCAAAAGCAAAAAACAGTCCTTAAAAAGGGAAAGTAAAACAAAAGAGAAAGGAAAAAAAAACTCCGACACTTTCAAAACGGATCTTGTTTCAATCTTGTTATGAACCTTCATTTAACATTTCTTTTGATCAGCTGCTTTGAGCTGGCATGGAAGAAAGAAGATTTTTTGTTTATTTGTAGTATATAATCCAGCTTCACACTTCCCCTCAATTTAATTAGGAATTAAGTGAAGCACTCAATTAGATAGAGAATCACATTTCTGTAACTCTCCTTATAGTGTAATAGTGAGGAAGATTATTTTAATTTTTAGTGAGTCTCTGGTTCTTCCTGTACTTGAAGAGAAATACACAATGTAATTTTTTGCGTATAAAGAAACAGACGACTAAGCTTTTAAAACATACAGTCATAGCAGCTCATACTTGATTGTCTGATTTGAGGGCAGCAATTTTTTTTAAGAGGAGGCCATAAAGTTGTATATACATCCTAACATGCTCGCCATGATACTGCAAACCAGAGAACACCTGGTGTACTGAAGGAGCACTGATATGAAAACAGTGCTAAAATCAGTCATTCAACCAATCAGTAATTTCTTTGTTCCCTTACTCAAACATTGGCTAACAGGATATCAGTATAGAATAGCTACAAGACAAATTTATGAGTAAATTTGTTGTGAACTTCTGTGATATTCTCCTAGAAAAATAGATAAGAGAATATGATGTCAATGCTCCTATGTGTCTTTGTCTTCAGATCTATTTTGGAAAAGCATCTGATTAGATAGATGAATGAATCACACTATTCCCCCTCCTTGTATTCAAGATAGTAAAGTATCTGGCCTACAGAAATCAGTGTTACAATGGCTGAGGGAATAGGAGCAGGAAATTACATTCCTGAAAGCCTTCTCACCTTGAAATTCTTATGAAAAGTTGAGCTGTCATAAATAAATAAACATTGTCTTTCAAATTGTGAGAGCTGCGGTTGGGGATTTCTACACTTTATTACCTTCTTCTAGTACAGTGTTTCTCAACCTTGACAATTTTAAGGCATGTGGACTTCAACTCCCAGAATTCCACAGCCAGCAATGCTGGCTGTGGAATTCTGGGAGTTAAAGTCCACATGCCTTAAAATTGTCAAGGTTGAGAAACACTGTTCTAGGATCTGTGTAAGAGGAATAGTGCCAGTGTGTTCTTGTGCATTTGTTGCCACTAAGAAATCTACAAACTTATGGAACAAGTATGTTTTATCCTTTCCCCTAGTCACATGGGACCAGTTCATGATGACATTTTAAGGTTGGGGAGATGCGCAGGGCCGTTTTCCCCATCTTTGGGTACAGTTAAGTGCCAAAGTAGACCTTTTGTGATGAGAAAGGGGAATAATCCACGGAAGGCACAAGATTCCAATGTTTCTTGTAACCTGATTTGCGTTTACCGAATTCTTTCCACTAAACAAAGACTGGTGAGTTAGGTTTCTTTTTTTTTTCCTCTGTAAGGAATATAGGCCCTCTCCTACTATAAATTAATCCGTTTTTGGACCTTATCACTGTCTAGCGCTTTAAAAAAAAGGTGTGTGTCTGTGACTTGCATTACAGCGATAGCTCCTGGCGAGAGGAGGCTAGACAACTACGATCCCCAGAATCCTTTGCGGCGGGAAAAGATGGTATTAGTCGCCGTCGTAAATTGCTTAAAAAGAAAAAAGAAAAAGAAAGAAAGACGTGCTCTATGCCCGGGTCGCTTTACGGCCGAGAATCAGATCCGCTTCCGGTAGAAGTTGACGGAGGGATCGGTCTGGTGGTTCCTTGTAGCCCGGAGACGTGACGCTTCTTGCTTTGCGATGGGAAGAAGCCGATTGTGACATTCTCTTCGCTCCCTCCCGCCCCCTCCTCCCTTGCCCGGACAAAGCGGGCCCCTCCAGGCCTGTCGGGATGGAGGAAGAGAGCATGGAGGAGGAGGGGGGCGGCGGCGGCGGCGGCAGCATCAGTAGCAGCAGCAGCAGCTACGAGGCCTTCATGGATGACCAGAACCACAACAACTGGGATCCTGCGGCGGGAGGCCGAGGCGGAGGCTACGGACTGTCTCCTTCGCCTTGCCCGGGAGAGTCCCGTAACGCGTGTGGGCACAGGGTAGCAGAGGAGCTTGAGATCCACATGATGTCCGAGGCCGCCAACGGGCCAGGGAAGGGCTGCGAAGCCGCGCCGGGAAAAGGAGGGGCTGCTGCTGCCGCTGCCAGCATCAACCTCAACATCAACCCTTCGGCCTCTAAGTTCTGTGAGTGAGGCCCCCGCATCCTTGGTCCATTCTTCCTGCCTCCAGATCAAAGAAGTGGAGTGTGGCCCATGAAGGAGGAGAAATTGAACTAGAAAGAGATAGTTTGGCTCTTGCCACTGTTTTCCAGCTGACCAGCAAGCACCCTTTCCCCAGGTTAACATTTAGCTGGTAGGAGAACTTGGCGAGCCAAGCTATCTCTTGCTAATTCAATTTCTCCTCTTTCACGCAACAACCATGGGCATCATTTCACTTTTGGCTGTGTCCTCCTCCTTTGCTTGGCAAAGGGTAGAGAGAACTAATTGATTTGGTGGTGGATTTTGCCCTGAAGTCTACAAGCGCCCATAAGTAAGTAGTGGAATATAGAGATTTGGTTTTGAAGTTCAATCTAGAGGTCCATGTTTAGTGGTGGAAGAATTTCTTCTTCTAATCCCATTGAGAGTGACCAGCTATTTTAATGTAGGCACTTAAAAAAGCACCCATTTCATAATTTTGAAAGCTTATTCTTTGTACTGTAATTCTGTAATGTTGTGTTACTGTTTTGTGTGTTCTTTAAGAGTTGTATCTAGATCAGGGCTGTACATAATTGGATGGTGGTTCATAAACTCAACATTTAAAAACAGATTTTGAATTATCAGTAGAATTTTTTTGCAGTGATACTTTAAGCAGCAATTAGTTTTCCCAGGCTTATAGGGTCCTAGAGAAATATGTAGCTAAACTTTTTGTGATTAGCAGTAGAAGATGTACGTTAATATTTGTAATGATCTTTTTGAAAATATACAGTCTAAAATGCCAGTTTGTGTATGAAATATCTGTGTATATTTCTGCTATGTTTTCACTCAGTAATTTCAGACGCTCTTGTGTATACTTGTTTATAAATATGTAAAACTGTGTCAGTAAGCATAGAATAAGAATAGAGGAATGTTCCATTTGAGTTAGGAATAAGATGCTGGGGCCCTAGAAAGCGTACAGAGAAGAGCATAAAAGATGATAAGAGGTCTGAAGGCAAAACCATATGATGAACGGCTAAGGGAATTAGAAGTGTTTAGTCTAATGAAGAGATGACTTGGGGTGACATGATTGCCATCTTCCAATACCTGAAGGGCTGTCACTGAGGATGAGGGAATCAATTTGTCCCCAAAGCACCTGAGGATAGGATAAGAAGCAATGTGTGGAAGTTGGTCAGAGGGAGATCTAACTGGAACTAAGCGAAAGTTTTGACAGTGAGAACAATCAGTGGAACAGCTTGTCTCCCAGAGTTATGGGTGTTTCATTGCTGGAGGTTTTCAAGAAAAGACTGAACAATCATTTGGTATAGAATAAGGATTCCTGCCTTGGCTAGGGGCTTGGAATAGAAGACCTTCGAGGTCCTTTCCAGCCTTATTCTATCACCGTCCCTTTTACGTCAAACACACCATTTAAGGCACTTCTGGGTTGAAAGGATTAGCTGGTGATATCACCATTGCCTGGGGGATGCTTTGGGGATTCTTGTCATGTCTCTGTCAGAGAGAGCTGGAGCAAATGACAGGAGCTCACCCCGCCACACAGCAGCATTCGGGTCTCAAATGCAGGCTTACTAACCTCGAACCCAGGGTCCTACTTCGCTCCTGTATTCTGTGATAATGTAAAATATTCTTGTCTCTATGGTTTGAGCTTTGCATTTAAGTTTTGTATTTGTTGCTAATTATGCTAACTACATTCTTTTATCAATTACAGTATACTTTCTCTTCTAGTAATGAATGTTATAACAATAGAAGATTATAAGAGCACATATTGGCCAAAGCTGGACAGTGCCATAGATCAGCTTTTAACTCAGTGTCCTGGTGACTATATTCCCATTTCCTATGAACAAATATACAGGTAAGGAAATAAAAATAATAAAAAACATTGATTATACAATAACAGATTATTTCAAGCTTGCATTATTTCAGTTGCTTGCAAGATGGTAATGAAAACTTTTAGTAAACTAGTATAATATTTAGAAGTATAGTGGTAATTCTGGCATTAGATTTCTAAATATTTGGGCTTTGGTTATTTAAACTGAATGAAAATAAATGCACTTGGTTAACAACTTTCTTTTTTAGGCATTTACTTGTTTCTATGTTAGAAAAGCATAGTCACATAATAGAAAATGTTTGCATTTCTTTGTAAAATAAAATGTGCAAGACTCACTTGCATGTTTTCAAACTGCAACTGAAGACAACCCTGGAATTTCACTAATCAAATGAAAAACTTAATGTATCGATAAAGGAGAATATATAGGTTCTCTGTTAATTTGAAGATACATGAATGTGCTTTGATTCTAATCGAAGAGTTGTCAGTTCCTTCTTCAAGACAGAGATCCTGTTTTGAACTGTGATTTTAATGAAATTTCAACTAATTCTTAATTCAAATGGTGTGGTGTATTTATGCCATAAAAATCAGCGCTCAGAATAGAACTATTTCTATTTTGGTGTCTTTAGGGGACATAAGTAAGGTTTCAGTATAATGTAGTTGTAGGGTTGTGCTTCCAGAACTCTATATTAATACATAGTTGTGTTATATTCTTAGAAATACTAAATGCAAGGAATTGATTCTCAGCTTTATGTAATAGTTAAAATGTTCAGACACTATTAATAATTTTTTAGCCACATTGAAAACAATTGAAGTTAACCTAATTATAAGTAACTAGTCCTGTTGATTTCAGTGGGATGAAAAGTGCTAACTAAGCCAAAATTCAGAACTTATTATGAAATATTGAAAAGGGATTCTTTTCTTAATTCTGTTCTGTCCCTGAAAAGAAATGTTTAGAATATTGTATTATGAATAAATAAATGCATGATTAAAATATAAAATTTCAAAAAGGTATCAATAACAATTAAATGTTATGTTTGGTTAAAACATATCTTTATAACATGATGAGTTAACTAAACAATATTGCCAGACTTTAAAAATGGGATCATTATATGTAAAACAGCCTTGAGTTTTTAGATCTTGTGCAATTCTCTGTGACAAATACAGATCTGCTTCAACAAACCTGTTAGTTAATGGGTTTAGAAAGTAATAAATGTATATTTAAAATCATGTACAGGAAATCCTCGACTTATATCAGTTCCTTTAGGGACCTTTCAAAGTTACAGCAGCACTGAAAAAAACGACTTATGACCATTTTTCACACTTACAACTGTTGCAACATCCCCATGGTCACATGATCAAAATTCAGATACTTGGCAACTGGTTCATATTTATAACCATTGCAGTGTCCTGAGGTAATGCAATCCCCTTTTGCGACCTTCTGACAAGCAAAGTCAATGGGGAATACAGATTCACTTAACAACCGTGTTATAACGTTAACAACTGTGGCAAGAAAAGTTGTAAAATGGGGTAAATTCACTTAACAAATATTTCACTTAGCAACATAAATTTTGGGCTCAATTGTGGTCATAACTCGAAGACTACCTCTCTTTAAAATACATTTTTGCAGGCTTAATATTGTCAATTCATCATTATTCCTGTATTTATTTCTGCAGTTGTGTATATAAATGTGTGTGCCAGCAGCATTCGGAACAGATGTATAGTGACCTAATAAAAAAGATAACTAACCACTTAGAGAGAGTCTCAAAGGAGCTGCAGGTAAGAAGTTGCACAATTTTCTTTCCTGGGACAGTATCCCAGTAAAATGCTAGTGATCTGTTGGAGTTATTGCTATCGTAACTCCTGTTGTTTCCTATCAGAACTTGATTGACCTGATTTGTAATGCATTAGTTGTGAGTAATTCTTCTCTAGGGAATTCAGATGTTACTGTCCATGTGAGCTCATGTATTTCAAAAGGTATCATGATGCCAAAAATGAATTAATATGGATTTGCCCTGAGCATATATAGCTGTGAATAATAAAAATCCCCACTACTGTAGGTTGAATCGGATTCCTAGTGATTTCAGAGGCACATTCATATAATTCTCTTGGCAACTGTTAGATTTGCCATTGTCTCCTGAGGTACTCTTTCAGCTTCCTGGACTAGATCACTTCCTGGTGATCTCCCTTCTAAGTACTAACCAGGTTTGACTCTATTTAATACTTTGAGATCAGCCACAGCAGTGAACAAAATCTAGGATAATTGCTCAAATGTCCCCAAAGAAACATGTAATGGATGCGTGCCTATCTGTATCTATTATTTTTAGCTAGCTTAAATTAGCCTTTAATTGTCAACGCTGGGACAAACTGAACTGAAAAGCCATTTTCATTTTGTCTTTGTTGCCACATTTTAGTTTAGAGATATTAGATGAAGGAAGAGGGGTGGGGGATATGTAGTTTTCAGTTAGCCAAAATAATTCATATGTCTGAGAATCAAGGTCAATACTGATAACATTTTGGCAGCCCTTGTTTTGTAACAATTGGTGAATATGATTTATGGCAGCAGTAGGGGTAGGAATTGCAATAGTAACTTTGTAACCAAGGGGAGGAGATTTTTAGTCTTGGGTACACCTATGTACATGCCGATGATTTTGTTTCCTAAATAAAATGTTCTCTGAGGAAGAAAGTTTTTCCCTGAAGTTCTTTTAAACGTTCATCTATCAGAACCATGACATTAATCTTCTTGCAGAATTTTGGGTTGGAAAACTTTATCAGTGTTCAAGCAATGTTTGATTGTATTGTACATTCATTTGTATTTCATTAGGTTGATCAAAACATGCTGTTCATTTTTACTCAGCTCGTCAGTTTAAAGAAAGAACCTTCCTAGTTTCACAAAACTAGGATTTTTACTGATCATCTGAAGAAACTTGTTTTTTATCACAGGCATTGGGGTTTTTATTTAGAACCTGATTTTAAAACAGACCTCCTTCTATATGGACATTTGTTGCTTATTAACAATTAGCCAGCATGATATTAGAAAATGAGCAATGCACTGACAGGAGTAAACAGAAATAACTTAGTTTGCTTGCCAATATTCAGTTCAGTCTTTAATATCAGAAAAAAATACAATTTCATATTTGTATTTAGCTGTGCTTTCGTTGTAGTCAGGTATTAATATGTATGAAGAATGTAGCTTCATCTTCAAACTTTTGAGGTTTGTCAGTAAATAGGACTTTGAGGAAAAGTATGTTGCTTTGGCATGCTGTAGGTTTTTTACTACCATGTTTCACCTAAAATAAGACCCAATCTTCTATTAACTTTTGCTCCAAAAGACGCATTAGGGCTTATTTTCCAGTTGGATCTTATTTTCAGGGAAACACGGTAATAGCAGCTCACTGAAGAGGTGTGTAGCTAACTGAATATTGTAACTTTCTTCTTACATTCCTGTGCTGAAATAAAACACCAGTGTTGCATTTGCATGTGGAGGCTTCTTCCTCCTTGAAACAGATGCAAAACTGCATAGCGCACAATTTTTTTGGATTAGAAGTCACACTTCATCTTCAGCATGTGCCAAGATCTGTCTTTCAGAAAGTACTATAGACACTTTTTCCCTTCTTTTTACTTTTTTTCATTTATATTCTTTTGGATAAAATTAAAAAAAAAAGTACTGAAAACTAAATTTTATTTCAATATATAGAACTCATGTTTATTAAAATTAAATATCACTAGTGTTAGTAGTGTAGACAATCCTTCAAATTTAAGACATCTAAAAGCTGAAACAAATGGTTCAAATTTGAATTTTTTCTTCATTGCTTGTTAATATGATTATTCCCAAATGTGCACTTATTTTTCTTCTGATATCTTAAAAATTATAAAATGGAAACAACTTTTGAAGGTTGGTAGGAGCCACATTCAAGTTTTTTGGGGAGCTACTTGCCATCCTGAGATTATACATTTTTGTTAGATTGTATTTCAGTTGAAATGGCTTTGGCTTATAAATGCTAGAGTACTGGGCAGTAGCTTTTGTTAAAAGCAGCAATATTGGTTTGTTGAACTGAATGGCTAGCTATACTCTGGTATCTTTTTCTGCAGCTGAATGTTCCTATAGAATAAAGACTAGAATAAGGATCTTCCCTTTCTTGAGGATACGCATAATCCTTTCCAGACTTTTTAAATCTATACTTTGCACGTGATTTTGCAATAGATAATTTAAGAAACACCTCATTACTATTCTTATATCTTAATTACAACTTTGTCAATTAAAAGTGTGTACTACGTGGTTGATCTGCAAGCACATACACTTGAGGTTTCAAAGTGGTTAAACTCTGGTCTGATTACTAGGTTGTTCTTTTATCATGGTGGAGGCTCTTGGTAATGCAATTCTTGAGGTAACTATTTTCTATCCTGCAGCAAAACAGAACATTGCTGATAATATGCAGAAATCAGCTTTCCAAAACAGTGTTTTTAATATAATCCAGCATTCAAATCATCCTGTTTTGAGGCTAAATCATACCTGATGTCAGGAGCAAGTAACCAGGAACAAGAGTTTAGGTCAAAGCACTTCAAGTTCACTATATGCTACCTATACACAAAAATCTGATCTATTAACGGTCAAGGCAAATTGGCACTAGATAAGAGCAGCAGAATTCAAGGGGGGGCTGGACTTAGGTCTCTTCTGAAAGCAGAGCAATTCCAAATTGATGATGCATTTGGCTCCACCACCCTCGAACTCAGCCTGGTCATTTCCTACACCTGGGGCACTGAAATACTTCATGTCCTGGAAAATTACTCTCAAGCTAAGACTAAGGACAATGAAGAGAAATTCAACCAGAGTTCACTTCTTTATTTGCTTATACACAATAGACAGAATCTTGCAGGCTAAACCCTTAACTACTCTCACCCTATACCCTGGGAGATTCTGGGGAGTGGCTATCTTTATTTTTTTCTATGTAGTTCTGCCCTGTGCTGCCTCTTGTCTGCCCCCCTTTCTGGAATATGTTCCTTTCTGGGAGACTGCTGCTTCACTATTTATTTATGACACTTATATACTGCTTTAAGTGCAAGCACTCTCTAAGTGGTGTACACCAGTAAGCAATGTATGTATATATTTACATTGCCCCCAACAATCTGGGTCCTCATTTTACCTACCCCGGAAGGATGGAAGGCTGAGTCAACCTTGAGCCGGTGAGATTTGAACCGCTGACCTGCTGAACACAGTCAGTTAAAGTGGCCTGCAGTACTGCACTCCAACTGCTACGCCACCTCGGCTCATAGTCTATATATAGTCTATCACATCACACTAGGTCCCCCTCTCACATATACTTCCAAAGCTGAACAATTTCCAGAGCAGTATGTTCTGAGGGAAAAAAAATAAAGGATCATCCCTGTGGAATACTGGAGTTCTATATTCATTTGGCAACATAAGGATGCGTTGTTTTGTTGTTATGAGGTTGAGCAATGAAATTACCCTTGCATTACTAGAAGTATTGCCTGAGTACTCTAGCATTTTAGGGAAAGATTCTTCCCTCCTATTTATATCTGACTGTGCCCTTATTTATATGGAACGGAACAGAATAGAATAGAATAACAGAGTTGGAAGGGACCTTGGAGGTCTTCTAGTCCAAATCCTGCTTAGGCAGGAAACCCTATACCATCTTAGACAAATGGTTGTCCAATCTCTTCTTAAAAACATCCAGTGTTGGAGCATCCACAACTTCTGGAGGCAAGTTGTTCCACTGATTAATTGTTTTAACTGTCAGGAAATTTCTTCTTAGTTCTAGGTTGCTTCTCTCCTTGATTATTTTCCATCCGTTGCTTCTTGTCCTACCTTCAGATGCTTTGGAGAATAGCTTGACTCCCTGCCTCTTTGTGGCAGCCCCTGAGATATTGGAATACTACTACCATGTCACCCCTCATCTTTCTCTTCATTAATCTAGACCACAGGTCGGCAACCTGTGGCTCTGGAGCCGCATGCGGCTCTTTGAGCCTTCCCCCGCGGCTCCCAGCCTCCTCTGCCATTTGCAGAGAGAAACAGAGACAGACAGAGAGAGGCACTTGCACTTAGCTTACCTTAGTTTAGCTTAGCTTCCCTTCTCTCTCTCTCTGTGTGTGTGTTGAGAGAGAGAGAGAGAGAGAGAGAAAGAGAGTGGCCTCATCCTGTTCGGCGAGCTGACGAGCTTACTGGGCGGGGCTCCTGCCTTGGCTGCGTCTCTGCAGGAAGCAGGAAGGGCAGGAGAGAGCTAGCTAGCCCAGCTATGCTGACTCAGGAATTCTGGGACTTGAAGTCCATGAATCATAAAAGAGCCGAGGTTGCCTACCCCTGAGCTTGTTGGAGAACAGCTTGAAGCCAGCTTGCCAAGTGAGCAGAAGATCGGAGAGAGGGAGGGAGGGAGAGAGAGAGAGGGAGAAAAACAGAAAGAGAGAGAAAGAGAGAGAGAGGAAAGAGAGAGAAAGAAGATAAGATAACCTTTATTATCATTTTTTTACTGTGGGCACAACGGCACACATCAAAAATGAAATTTAGTTGCCCGATCTCAAAGTGAAACACATACATGACGCACACCTAAACATACTATGAATAACATATGTATAGACCCACATCCCTATATATACGTAGCAAATAAATATTAAATACTGTCCATCTTGAATATATAATGGAAGGAGGAAGCTTGAAAAAGAAAGAGTGGGGGAAGAGGACTGGCAGACCAAGGGCAAAAAGAGAGAGAGGGAGAGAGAGAGAGGGAGGGAGAGAGAGACAGAGACCCTTTTGACATCTAAAA